ACCTAAATGCTCAATCATGAATGATTTAGAATATTTAGTTATGTCATATATCTTCAATGAAATACTACTCAATAACTAAAAAGATGAAATCTTGTTTTTTTTTTGTTTTGTTTTGTTTTGTGCTTATTTTGCTTAGCAAAATAAAATAAGCAAAAGAAGTCAAATAGTGAAAGACAATTATAGGTTGGCGTCATTTATATGTGGCATACAAGTAACCAGAGCACAATCCAGGAAAATGTGACAAAAATAGCTTTTAGACTCTGTGTAAAATATGGTGATTACCAGAGAAGAGTGGGAAGCAGTGTGGTACAATGCGTAAAGGTCATGTAATGGCACTAAAACTTACAGGGTCGAAGGATGAATCAGTGGAGCAGAGAGGACATTTAGAGCAGTTAAACTGTACAATACTGTCTGGTAGATTTAGGTCTCTACATTTGTCAAAACCCATTAAGTGCACAACACCTCAAGTCATGCTTAATGTCTTTGGCTGATGGTGAAGTGTTAATGTAGGTACACGGATTTATAGAACACAGTTTTGTATACTATTTTCTTTTGTTATCTTTATAATCACTTACTTATAACTGAATAATTGTAAACTTCTTCTGTTTAGATTACTGTCTTCTGATTGGACCCAGAGTGATACATAGTGTATTACTATATCATGGCATATGTGGTAGTCATTAAAATAGCGTATAGGTACTTATTAACAGAAAACTATCTCGGATATTGTTGAATGGAAAAAATTGTAAAAATATGTGTGCATTTACTTGCAAAAAGAACCCTAGAATGGGGATTACAATTGAGATTTAAAAAAATGTACAAAATGATGTAAAAATAAACTATTATAAAATGAAAAAAAAACACTAAAAGGGTGCTTAGAAAATGGTGGCAATGGTTATTACTTGGTAGTGGAATTTCATATGTGCTTTTCATACTTTTACATTGTTTCAAAGAATATGTGTTATTTAACTGTTAGACAATGAGATGCTACATTTAATATATTTCCAAAATATCATCTAAACAGAAGAGTAGCCCTATTTCACTACCTTAGTCAATTCAGTTTTAGCATGGATCCATTTGCAGGATGAATATAGTTTTCATCCTGCAAATGGCATGGGAGTGGGGCGTCTAAGTTCACTCTTCCCATTCTCCACACAGTAGGACTTTGGTAAGCTCTCTCTTACAGAGCTGCAAGTAGTTACGGATTCCCACTCAGCTCCCTGGTGCTCCAAGTGCATAATATTGCCTGTCACTTGCTTACATGGCTCTTTGAGAAATTCTGTCACCACAGCTGTTAACTAAATGCTCTGCAAAGACATATGAATGTCCAGAGAGTAGATCCAGCCAGACTGTGTGTGCGGGGGATCCCAGCTGTACCATTATACTCAGGTCACAGTGACACACAGCAGCAGGAGCTTTTCCCTCTACAGGATATAAGAAAAGACAGAAAATGCTTAGAGTTAATGACTAGCACCTTGTAAACAATAGAAAATTCAGCTATGATTAGAGCCAATGGGTAGAATTGGCTGAAATTCTGAAAGAATAGGATCTTTCAGAAAGAAGGAACAGTATCACATCCCTTGACATGTAACTTTCACTAATTAATTTTCACACATTAATTTGTTGAAAATTTTCACTTTAACACTTACAAAACCATTTATATACAAACAAGAAACTTTTTTATTTGCACAAAAATGTCTCCAAATGAAAGGTACTTTCTCACACTGAAGATGAAGACAGAGAGAAAGGAAGGATAGAATATGAAAATGAAATAAATACAAATTTCTGGCCTTCAGGGGAGAAATACAGAAAAAGAATTACAAAGACCAACAAAGGACACAACAATTCAGCGCTACAAGCTTTAAATTTTAAATTGAGTCTTCCAGTTGTTCCTAGATGTATAAAGTATTAGTATACAATGGAATATGCTGTAGCCATTAAAATGATGAGATTAATGTACTTCTTAGCACATAACTATGTGTATTGTTTAGTGAAAAAAATAGATATGTAAAGCCACATGTGTATTTATATGCATGAAAAACACTAGAAGGATGCTGGGAAAATGTATGCCAATAATATGCTCATGCTAACCATTCCCTCTATGGGGTGTTACTTATTACTTACCCTGCATCAATAAGGCATTAAAATCCTATTTCCCTTGGGAAGACATCCTTCCCCATTCAGGCCTAGTGTTCAGGGGGTTGACTCTATTCAGATTCCAGCCTGGCCCATTGAGCTGGACCTGGTTGGTGAAAGAATTAAATGTTCTGCAGCACAGCAGCTGATCCAAAAGTGAACACATAATCCAAGTCAGACCAGTGATTCAACTCCAGGACTCTTTTGCCAATGTTAACAGTAAAGTCTTCTTTTCTGACTGGGCTTGCAATTGTAAAACTTTAAATATGGTACTCCTGGGACCATTTGTGGCGATAACTGGTACATGGGAAACCAACTCAGAAAATTCAGCAGGGGCAAGAGATGGAGCGAGAAGAGTGAGATCAGATCCTGAGGTGGCTTATCCATAATCCAGTTATGATTGATTAATTCTTGGACTTTTATCTTGAAACAACAAAGTTCTTTGTTTTACTTACTCCAGGTAGATTTCCCGTTGCTCATAACTGGGAGGATCCAGAGTAAATGTGAAACTAAAACATTCCAAATTGCATGTTACTTTACTCACTTGATTGAATCCAAGTTATTTTACTTACTTGATTAAAGTTATGATCAAGACCACGAGTTTAAGAGTAGGAGCTTTGAAATAATAAAGAATTGTTCTGGGCCCTCCCTAGTGGCAGAACAGATTAAAGCTCGGTACTAGGAGGCTAGCTGCCACTTCAGCACAAGATTGATCCCCCTGACCCACATGGCATAGCAGCCCCCTGCTTTCCTCAGCAAAGTACTTCATCAATCTGCCTGTTCTGTCTCTGATGAATCCTCTCATCATCCCTGCACCTCTGGTCTGTACCCCAATTCTGTGTGTGTAAATAAATCAATCTTAAAATAAAATCGTAAATAAAGAAAAAAAAGTTTTCTCAGAGCACAAGCGCTCTGAGGATAAAAAACAAAACAAAACAACAACAAAAAACCCCTCTGTGCTAGCCACACACATTTTGCATAAGAAAGCTAAAGAGAACCTCAGTGACACCAAAATTACAAATATTAGTCAATTGGACATTCTGCATCTGATCATCATGAGTGATTGCAGTTTTGTCAGAAGTGCTGCAGCATTTTAATTGAGAACAATTTGTTTGTTTTTCTACAACTCTGAACTCTAACACTATAAACCTGCTTTATTCATTTGCTGTGGGAAACAAAATTTGAATTCACGTGTCAACTTTGTAATACTAACCCAGTGACTATAATTTCTTTGATCTTGTCACAAATAATTCAACTGGAATAAAAGACAGAAGTGATCCCCTCAGAGATAAAGTACGTTTGTGCTTGTTTATATCAGACAAGTAGAAACCATGATAACAATACATTCTTTTTAACTTTTACAATTTACATCTTTGCTTTTATTTTCCCATCACCCATATGAGGAATATAGTATGGAGCATAATCATTCTAATTTATAGAGTTGAAAGGTAAGCAAAATGATAGCCATAATCCAGTGACAAAGCAAAATATTTGGAATGTAATTGATGATTCACAAAACGTCACACCATATAGACCTAGTGCCTTGGTCCTCACCTTCTCTGCTTACAATTAAAAGTAATAAGACAGTATAAACCTACCCCCCACACAAACCATTGGTGTGAGAATAAAATTACAATGCATGATTTAAGATTAATCAAGTTTGAAACATGGTCATGTGATGCTCTAACAAAATGGGAAAATATGAGCTGAAGAAAAAGGCCATCAGATAGGCAAACAAGGGTTTCTGCATGGGTGCCTAAAAGAATCCCCAGAAGAAATCCAGTTCAGTATTCTTTGAGGTCAAAGTGTCAACTGAATGACCTCAAGGGAAAAAACTAACAAAAAAAGCTCATGGTTCTACTCAGTGTCATTCTCTTCAACGCTCTACTACCATTTCAACCTCATAGCCTGAAATAGGAGTCATCAAATCCTTCTCCACTTTACCCATCACCCATTCTAGGCCTGTTGATACATCTGCCAAAACAGCTCTTGAATCTGCTGACTCAGCATTCATGCCCACTGTCACCACCCTAATCCAAGACACTATTAATTAATAGGTGCTTGTTCTTCCTGCATCTATCATGACCTCCCCCCAACCCAGTCCTTCACATTACAATTAGAATGGCGTTTTCGAATACATATTCATGCTTACAATTTACTTCCCACTGCTCCTAGAATAAAGACCAAAATAAGACCCTTCGGCTAGCTCTTTGCAATCCAGTTACACTGAATTTCTTCTAGCAGGAATAGCTCCATCCCACCATAATAGTTCCACACTTGCTTTTGTTACAGCCCTTGTCATCCTTCAGTCTCAGCTTAGCTGTCACTTGCGAGGGAAAGCCTTCCCAAGCTCCCTAATTAATTCATGTCCTTTTGCTATATGCTCCGAAGGAAGTCCTGTGTCTTTCCTTCAGAAAAGTTTTTCTGTCTCTAAGGTTTAAGGTCCAAGAATTTACAGTTAGTATCAACCATCATACAATGCCGGCATATACTAAGTACTCGATATATAGCTGTGAGTGATTAAACGGTTATACAAACTTCAAAAAAGATTAGCAGATAACGAGCGAACGCAAATAATGGCCGGGACACATAGAACCAAGCTACCTGGACCACAGAACTGGGTATCCTCTCAGTAGTTCCGCCCCTTTGGCTCCGCCCCTCTCTGCTGAGTCGTGGGGAGGGGCATAGAGGTCGCGTGACGTGACAGCAACCAGTCGCTGATTGGGCTTCCAGACAGGCATGCTAGAGAAGGGGGCGTGTCCGAGCGCGCTGATTGGCTCTCCCACAGCGGCTGGGCGGGCGGCGGCGGCAGCGCGGGGGCGGGCACCGGGAGGGACGGGACCGGGCTGGGCTGGGCTGGGCTGGGCTGGGCTGGGCTGGGAGGGCAGTGGCGGCGGGCGGGATGGGTCCTGGGTGCCGGCTTCGCTGAGACTCGCTCGCGTGGGCTGCCCGCGGCGGGCCCGCAGTGGCCGCGGCGGCATGAAGGGCGCTCTTGGGAGTCCCGTGGCCGCGGCTTCGGCCGGCGCCGCCATGCAGGAGAGTTTCGGCTGCGTCGTGGCCAACCGCTTCCACCAGCTGCTGGACGATGAATCGGACCCGTTCGACATCCTGCGTGAGGCCGAACGCCGGCGCCAGCAGCAGCTGCAGCTGCAGCGCAAGAGACGCGACGAGGTGGCGGCTGGGGCCGGTAACCGCGGTGGCCGGAGCCCAGCCGGAGCCTCGGGCCACAAGCCCGGCGCCGGCGGCGGCCGGAGGGAGTCCCAGAAGGAGCGCAAGAGCCTCCCGGTCCCCGGCGCGCCGCAGCCGGACAGCCCCGGGGGTGGCCCGCCACCGCCCGGTAAGCTCGCCTCGCCTGAGTGGGCGCGGGGGGTGGGAGGGGAAAGAGAATGGGGTCACGGAGGTCACCCCTCGTCAGCAGCTCGGGCCCCCTTGTGTGAGACTCAAGTGACTGGAACGTGTTCCAGAAAGGAGAGGGCTCTGGAAAGAGTTGGGTTGAGGGCGGTGGTGCGGAAGGACGGTAGGCGCGGAGGACCCGGCTGAGTGTGTCACACCCCTTTTGGCTTCTCTTAGTCTTTTGGGGGTGGACTGTGTGTGCTGCAGACTTGAAGGAGGGGGCCTTAAAACCCAGGGAGTGAGCCTTTATGAGTTGGGTAAAGTTGAACAACCTTGCTGGGGTGGGGTGTAGGGGCAAAGCCTCTAGGGTCGCCTACTCCCGGGCTCTGGAACCTAGAGGTGGCAGGGACCTTCTCCATCATCCAGCCCAAGCGCTGCCAAATTCGGGTCGGGAGAAAAGAGAAGCGTGATGGGAGGAGGGAGGCGAGGAGGTGGGAGGGTGCCCCCAGCCCCAGGAGGCGAGAACCCTGGGTGCTCGAAGCATTCTCGGGGGTGTGCGGCACTGGGCCTTCTGTGATGGAGGGAAGGCCTGGGTGACCGCGGAGGCGGGCTGTGACGTCAGGGCCGCCCGCTGAGCGCGACGGGGCGGGGAAGGGGGGTGGACGCGGAGTCCCGGTGCTTTCGTCCAATTCCCCCTTGGTGGCTTCGAGCCCTTCGCCGGCAGCTTTTTCCATACTGCATGTGGTGTTGGTGGGATGTGTAACTTGTCATTAACTCTGGCTACTTAAAGAAACCGTTTTAACCGTTTCAACAAGAATCTATTAAAGTCCCTTACCCCGTGTAGCCAGAATGGCCAGTACAAAGCGCGGTGCTCCACTGTCTGCGTCCAGGTAGGGACGGTACTTGAGAGTTCGTTTCTCACCTGAGTTGCATTAACGGAATAGCAAGGCTTCACTTGTGTTTCCCCCTATCTTTCCTTAAACAAGGCAGCTGTGCTTCGGCTTAATGAGAGTGTTAGATGTGTAGTTGGACCTATTCCAGCCAGTGTTTCGTATGGTGTTGCAACCCAACTGATCTGTTCCTTGCGATAAAAATTGTACAAGTCAGTCCTGACATAACAATTCCTGATTAGAGTATTGGGGTTTTATACGTGCAACTAGGTGATGTTTACTCTTATCTGAAAAAGTTCAGCCTAGCATGTAACTTGAGACTCAGAAATCAAGTCACTAATGTAATAAAGATGTTAAAAAGTATTTAAAATGCTATACAGGTTATATCAGAACACCTTGGTAGACCAGTGAGAGCTGAGCCTATTTCAGCAGTGAGACTTGAAATTTACTGTGTTCTATTCTTTTCCTCTTAAATTCATTTACCTAAATATAATAGTTATCATAATTATAAAAGACTAAACTCCCTGTTTTATAACAAGTGAACATTTGTATTTTAGCTATAAAATAATGTGACACTGCATTTTGTGTTGATTCTGTATAAAAATTTTAAGCAACCAGAAATACTGTATTTTACATAAAACAAAAATTCTGAATTTTCTGTTAGTAGTTTGCATTTATATACATACATGCTGAAAGCTGTTTTTTCCTAACATTAAGTGATATAAACTGGGTTGCAACCTGCTTTCACTTAACATTATAATCTAATGTATTTTTAACTTTTGCTGTCAGTTGTTCATGATCCAAATTATCTGCCCTTTGAGTTCTATGTTATTTTCAGTTGATTTTGTAGTTAGGATGGAAATTCCATTTCTGTAATGGGTAAGCTACTCTACCAAGGTTTTATAGCCCTAATTGATAGGGACTGTACATTTCTAGCATTCAAAAATTTAGTTGGAATATTATGTGAATTCATAGTGTAGGTAAGAATCTAAGTCAAAATGTGTCACATCATGAAAACATTTATCTGAGAAGGTGACTCAAGGCTTTCTCATGGATATGGTGGCTTTTAATGTGCTCCTGTATTTTCATTATTAATATATACAAACCCTTGGGTGAGCATTGCTCAGTAAATTCATTCTGCAATTCCTAGAGCCGTTTTAACTTGACTTTTCCTCCCCTTTCAAAACTCCTGTCTTTGAGTAAAAACCCAGCTTCTTTTTGAATGCTATCTCACTAAGTTTCACTGTATTTTGTCCCTTCATATCATTTTTAGATCAGCAATCAGATTGTACAAGGCAGTCTTTTACTGGATTGAGCTAGCAAAATTAAATGTTTGCATTATCCAGCTGAGCTGCACATCTAACACAGAAAACAAGTTATTTACAGTTGCAATCTTGATCTCAAGATTTTAAATTGTGAGGAAAACAGAACCCCTATATCATTTTTTTTTATTTTAGTGCGAAAATGAAATGTTTGCAAGATATTGATGGTAATTCTGAGAAGTACTCAGTCATATTTAATGGTTTTCAATTTATGCACAAACTTTGGAAGAAGATTTAATGTAAAGGATGCAGCAAATATTTTAAGTTTTGAATGGTGAATGCCAGACTTAATTGATATTATTTCAAAAATATCCCTCAGGAAGCAAAAATAATAGTGGGATAAGCACCCAAGTAATTGTGTAGTTGGGTGGAAATATTGTCTTTTTTTTAATTACTGTTTATAAATAAGAAATTTGAAACTGTTAAAATAATTTTTTACATTATTGAGGGAAAAAATATTGAGAACTGTTGTTGCCATTTCCATCTTTGCTTATGGCTGTTAGATCATAGTCTGTTATAGTTTTCAGTTTGTTAGATAGTGAACTTTCATAATACTTTCTAACTTATATTTTAAATGCAACTTCTAAATTGATCTCTGTTGTTAGCATGTGTGCCCTCAGATCTTGCATTGCATACGGGGATTTGGGGAATAAGTGTCCGTCTGTTTCATTATGCAATAAAAGCATAATGCTCTATTGATGAAAAGGTCATTTCCATGTCTTCAACATGTCACAAGTTCAGACTGTGAACATAGTACAGGATGCAAATCTATTAAAATATCTTTAGGTTATGGGACATCAAGATTGAACTTAACATCTATTGTATAATTTTTCATATTAAAAAAAATAGTTTACTAGCAAGTAAACTACAGTTTTAGTGGTATCACAGACATGATTTTTATTTTAAAGTAATGGAATTATTACTATTTACACATGCCTAGCTTATAACATTTGGTAAAAAATATTAAGTGGAAAATAAAAAATATTTATAAGCATATGTAGAGTCATGTGTTTATAAGTAGGAGAGGAAGCCAGCAGTTTGAAAACCATTAATTTAAATACTTTTAATAAATCTGGGATATAATCTGATAAAATTTTCCTTTTAGAAAGATGACATTGATTAAGACAATAATCAACACTAATAGAACTCAGTGAGTAGTAGACACTATTCTAAAAAATATATATATATAACATTTTATAGCTATACAACCAATCTGAAGGGTAATTTTGTACCAAGAATAAGCTGCTGTAAAAAAATTTAATATGAGGCCCTCCCTGGTGGTGCAGTGGGTTAAAGCACAGAACTGAGAAGCTAAAGCCACTTCTGCATTAGTTCGACTCCCCCCTGCCCCGGAGGTGACCACATGGCATGGCAGACCTCTCCTGACCCGCCCGCTGCTCCCCTCAGCAGTGTACTTCGTCAATCTGCCTGTTCTGCTCCCCACTCTTCTCTGGTGAAGCCTCTCGTCACCCCTGAGTGTCTGGCCTGTACCCCAGTTCTGCATGCACAAATAAAATCTTTAAAAAAAAATTTAATATGAGTTTTGAGGTGGAGACCTTTTAAAATGTATGCAAAGAAAGGTATATAGACATTTTGGGAAGAAAGTTTGACAATTCTGACATATTTACCAAGTATCAGATGTCTTCAAATATAGTCAGTTTAAAACATCTAAAGTATCAAAACTAGATGGAGTGATGAAAGGTGACAGGAGAAAGGACTAGACTAGAATGGCTGCTACACCCAGCCCCTCTCCCTGCTTAGTGTTGGGCTTGGGACAGGTGATGCCCCTTTCAGGTACTGGCTGGCCCTTGTGTGAGGTGCCAATATCAGTTTGGCCTCATAGTTCAGAGGTATGATCATATTGTATAAATTCCATCAAAGAACAGGCAAATCTGTTTGAAAGTGAAAACGATATAGCAGTACAAAATATGTTTTCTTAAAGATTTCTATATACAGAACTGGGGTACAGGCCAGAGGTGCAGGGGCTGTGAGAGGTTTCACCAGAGACAGTGGGGAGTAGAACAGGCAGATGGACAAAGTACACTGCTGAGGGGAGCAGGGGGCGAGACAGGAGAGGTCTGCTGTACCATGTGGGTCACCTCTGGGGCTGGGGATCAAACTGGCAGTGGCTAGCTTGCAGTGCTGTGTTTTAACCCATTGTGCTACCAGGGAGAGCAACAGTTTAGTAGCTAAAAATAAACCATATTTGGGATTATGAAAATATAATTTGAAATACAGAGTGTGTATGTATCTTTTAATTTTCTGGATGGAGCTTAGCTAACATGTTTTGATAAAGCTGCTTTTTTGGAATACAGTTGTTTAGCATTTGCTTATATATATATTTTAGCACTTATAATACTTTCTAAGACGCAAATGTACATATCTTACACTCTCATACTCTTATTCTTTCTAGGACTGAAGTAACTTTTAAAGGTTTTATGATAAATTATTTGATCCTGGATAGTACTTACATTTGGCACCCTATTTCTTCTCTGAACTTTTCTAAACTTTAAAAATGTTCCTATGACCACTGATGTCAGCAAAAGTGAGATTGAAATGCTGTGCTGTTGCAAAGCTATGCTGAGCTCTTTTTGGTGAACTTTTCCTGACAGGCCAGAAGCGAACTCTCAGAAGAGGGGAGCAACAAGCATGGAATGATAGCCGGGGAACAGAGGTGGCTCTTGATAGAGCAGAGCGAAGATCCTACAGGGAATATCGCCCTTATGAGACCGAGCGGCAGGTGGACTTCACACCCGAGAAGTTTTCAGATGAAAAGTACGTACAGCAGACTTAAGCCAGGAGGGTTGGGAAGCCAGAAGATTTTCAGACTACTAGCAGTCTACAACCTTTCTGTGGCACGAGTCCTAGGATATTTTATCAATTTAAATAGTAAAGCTGTTGTTACCTTAGGTGACATGTACATGGTCTTCCATTGACCTTATAGATCATCTTTAAGTCTTGGTTCAGCAGATACAATGAAAAGTAAATTACTTATTGGTAACTATAAAAATCCTTATTAAAAAGTATTATTAAATTTTCTTTTGAAGTTCAGACTAGAGATTTAGTTGTTTTTTGATTTAGGATTACTAACTTAGAACACTAATGAATTTGCCTGAATTGTGAACTCCAAGGTCAGGTCAATAGGCTATTGTCACAAAATTTGAGGAAAAACTAATATAATGTGTAGCACTGGTTTCTGACTCCCATATTTTTCCCAGAAAATGCTCTGATGTGGCAGATGGTCTTCTTGGGCCCACCTGTACACAGGTAGCAATTCTTTGTGTTTTGTGCTTGGCACTAACAAGAACCATGCTTTTTGCCTGAAGTTTTTGTTTAACTGCTAAACCTACTTTGTACTGAGTTTAGATTAAACAGAAACAACTTGGTGAATCACAAATAAAGCTGAAAAGATAATGAAGAGTAGAATAATATATGGCCTAATGTCAAGATAGCTCATTATTCCCAAAGTCTTTCAGATCCTTGCTACAAGTTTTACCCAAGAACATGGCTTTATGAAACTATATATGTTCTATAATCCATTGAAACAAACCAAAAACTAAAAATCCAACAGAGAATACTCCATCTGAGAGGGCTGAGCAGCTGGTGATATCGGCAGATCTGTTCTGGAAGGAACACATTCAAAACATCAACATGGTGGATCTGTCACCATGTTGAAGGATAAGGGTACGAGAAAAGCTAAATTCTGCCCTTTTTTGGTGATTGCTTCAAATTTGCTACAATCTGCTTGCTTACATAAAACCTTCTGGAACAGAGCTGCTTATTTTTGGAAGCATTGTATATTTTTTTTCTTACCTCAGGGATTTATTCTGTGGAAATAAGGAAATGAAAACTCAGAAACAATGTCATGTTGCCAACCATTTTTAGTAGCAAAACTGAAACTTTTAAAAGGATAAGTGGTCTTTATATGTTAACACAAATGTCAGGGTAGGGGTAGGCTGAGATGAGATATGGGATTTTGGAGAGATTTATTTTCTTTAAAAATAATTTTAGATTTATAGAAAAATTGCCAGACCTATCCAAAGAATTCCCATATGCCCTCTTCCCTCAAAGGTTAATCACGTCTGCTTAAATATCTTCCTTCTCTCCACCTCCCCCTGTTCCAAGCAATCTTGTCCTGTTCTTTGTCATTTGAGAGTAAGGTACAGGAATATCTCTTTATCCCTAAATACTTCAAATAAATGTATTTCCTAAAAGTACAGTATAGTTACTGAGCCTCTCCCTGGTGGCCTAGGGTTAAGTCTCAGCACAATCACTCCTATGACCTGAGTTCAACTCCCTGCCAGGGACATAACTCACATGGTGCTTCTCTCTAGCCTGCTGCTCCCCTCAGCAGTGTTTTCAGTAGATCCTCCTGTTCTGCTCCCCATTCTTTCTTTGGTGACTCCTCTCACCCCCTGCGCCTCTGGCCTATACCCCAGTTCTTCTGTGTATACATAAATAAAATAAATCTTTAAAAAAATATTTAGAATGGGATCAAAAACGGGGAGGGGGGGAAGGGAGGGAAATGCACGGGACTATGGTGGTGGCACACGGGTGATTTGGTGATGGAAACCCGTGGGGATTACAATCGAGATGGAAAAAAAAAATGTGCAAAATGATGTAAAAATAAACTTTTGTAATAATTAAAATAATAATAATAATAATAAAATATTTAGAGCATGGTAGAGTTATCAATATTGTTATTGTGAATTTACTATCTAATTTTCTAAATTAAGTAACCTACAGACTAAAACTTGACCAGTGTCTTAATAATGTCCTTTTAGAAAAAGAAGAACATTTCTGGTTCTAGATTCAGTCCACGAATATGCATTGCATTTAGTTGTCTTTAATTTGGAATAGGTCCTAGTATTTTTATCTTTTATATATTTGACATTTTTTTTTAAGAAAATGGGCCAGTTATTTTGAACATGCCCAGAATCTGACTTTGTCTATTTCCCTCATGGAACAAGGTGTATAATTTAACAGGAATTACAACAGAAATGATGTGCTGTATCCTCAAATGTACCACATTAGACATTTTTACTTTCAAGGAAATTTGAATTTTTTTGATTTACCATGTGCTATCAGGAAAGATGGTTTCCTTAGTTCCTGAAAAAGTACTCTTCTGTTAACAATGACTCACAGGATCTTTAATAAAACTTTATAGTCACTTCAGACAATTTGAAAAATTCATAAACGTATAAAGAAACTGATAACAGCCTTACACCTGAAATGATTACACATAATGCTCTGGTGTATTTTCTCCTTTTTTTTTTTTTTTTTTTACATAGATATATGTAGATACTAAGATGATAATGCATTTGAACTGAATATTTTATATATATGTATTTTTCCACTTGCCATGGCAGAACTCTTTCCGTTTTAGTTACAATATGTGGTAACAATGTTTGGGAGCATTTTAATAGTTCCATTATAATTGTTATTTGAGTATATTATAATCTGATTGATTGTCCCCATAGTCCTCCACTCAGCTTCTACCTTTTTTACTTTATAAGTAATACCGAGGGAGCAGCTTTTGTTGGGATTTTCCTAGATGAAGTTCTAGAAGTCCAAATCACAGGGTCACAAAACAGTGGATCTCAGCTGGGTGTCTTGTTTTCTATAAGTTCAAGCTTCAATGCACAGGAATATATAGTATGAAAAGGAACAAACACTGATACAAAATGTGGGAGCTATTGATAAATAGGGACAATCGCTAACATAATAACTTATTAAATTGCTCTATCACTAATATCTATAAAAACCATTTCTCTTAGCGCTTTCTCCAGGCTTAAATATATTGGGTCTTTGCTTATAAATAGTAAAAAATGGTTTTACCTTACATTGTTTAGATACCTGGACATATTCACCAGACAGAATTGTACATTATTCATATTAAATGATTTTCTGATTCAGTCCTCTTAATTTATGGATGTGGAAACAAAGATCTAAAATTTCAGCTGACTTGCATTTTTCATCCACTAAGGCAGAACACATATTTTCACATGGAAGCTGTGTCTTGGTGCTTCTGGAATAACTCAATGTGACTCAATGCAAAACAGCTACATCACTTGTTATATCTAGTCTGGGAGAGCAAGTACTGTTTTTAGTGCAGTAGAAATTTTTTTTTAGTTTTCAAATGATTAACTTAAGTGAACTCTTAAAACATAGACTATTTGGAAATTAGTCTGCCTCTGTCTGGACTTTTTGCTCTCTTTCTGGTTCTTTCCGCAGTGTACTGCCAGCCATTTAAAGTCAATTGTAGTTGAAAGAATCATTTAGTTGTTTTAAAATGTTTTCCTCTCATAAGGAAGCACTGATAACATAAACTGTGGTAAATATATTTAATATAGAATTTGCCTTTTTAACCACTTTTTATCCTTTTTTATAATTTAATTTTATTTGATATATATGAAATCATTCTTCCTTTTTTTTATTTTTTATTTATTTATTTTTTTTCTTAGGTTGGCAGTATCATTCTTCCTTTTTATACAATGCTTTCTCTTTTCAGGTGTAGTCCCTGCAAAATTCCCGTTACCAGTCTACCTGTGCACCATCACCATGGTCCCTTGTGTAAGGGATCCCTTTCCCTCCTGCTCCCTTGCAGAGTCTCTCTGATTAATGGTTGCCTGTTAATTTTGCCTTTTTAATTTACTATAATTATTTTTCTCCTGGTCCTTTTATTTGGTTCCCCTACATTCCTCCTGTAAGTGAAACCATCCAGTATTTTTCTTTTTCCTTCGGGCATTTTATCCACTTGTAAGTCAGGAGTTCAGTAGTCTTAATTACATTCTCATTTATGTGCAACCACCATCAACACCACTGTCCATCTCAGAACTTTTTCATCTTTCCAAACTCAAACTCTGGACCTGTTAAACACTCCATTCAGCCTACATTGAGCTATAAAATAGTATATAAAATTGAGTACTATGAAATAGCCACTCATGTTTACTTAATAGGATTGTCTAAAGAGTAGATTACAGGTATGTGAAGCAAAATGCTTGGCTCAAATATTATTTTCCCCTTTTTTGCTTGTAAGTACATCAGAAATAAAGCTTTTAAAGCAGGGTATAGAAGTTCTCAATCCTCATCAGCCTGTAAAAGAGAGGTTTTACTTTATAATAATGGGATTATAAAGGAGCAAATACATTTAGTTAGGGTGGGAGTCAACGTTTGTGTAAAGGAGACAATGGTTAGAGAGATGAAAATACACCAGAAACACAGATTGTTTTTAGGGTTGGTCTTGATTGCTATTACATTTTAAATAAATTTGATGTTTTGTCAGTATCTCAAAAAAAAAAAAAAATCCCTTAGCCCTTCAGTCCCATTCACAGTTGTTTATTACATTCATCTTTTCCTAGACCATTTGACAGGCTTGATAGAGATAGACCACTGAGAGGCCGTGGTGGCCAAAGAGGGGGCATGCGAAGCAGAGGAAGAGGCGGTCCTGGGAACAGAGCTTTTGATGGTTTTGACCAGAGAGGAAAACGAGAATTTGAAAGATATGGTGCCAATGATAAAATGTAAGTTTCTCTGTAAATGCTGTTTTTACTTTAATATCTTGGTAATTATGTGGCATGAATCTGTTCGTTATGTTTTCCTTTTTACATGACTTTATGTTTGTTACTATTCCTGAGGGAGCTGGTTCTAGGAAAGCTGGTTCAAGTCAGCTTTGCTGACTTGCTGATTGACTGGAAACCAGTTTCCAGTTTAATGGAATATTCCTTCTTTCTCTAGAGCAATCAAAACTGAAGACAGCATGGGTGGATGTGGAGTTCGCACCTGGGGATCAGGTAAAGATAGCAGGTATGCAAAGGTGTGCTCACAGTGACATCTGTATTTTTATTTGCTTTCTTAAAGATTATCAAAGCAGGTTCACCTGAGCTACATATTTCACGTTTCTCTGAAGTTTCATGGTGCCACATACTTGTGCTGCTTTGAGCACTTCCGGAGGGTGCTCAAATTCTCCTTTTTGGGTCATTCTGTGGCCACTGAGGAGAGTGCATCCCTGTTGTCTGCAGAGGAACAGGCTTGAGGTGATTCAGACTTCCACGTTAGTTCTTTTGTACAATATAAGATTTTTACATAAACTTATTTTCCTTAAGCTTTCTCATTAAAAGACAAATGTACAGAATAAGCAATTGTAATGTTTAATACAGTAAACATATATGTTGTCCTGGAAAGGATGAACGATTTGTTGAATGTGTCTCAGTCCTGGTTCCATAACATCTCTATCACTGTCCTTTTAATTTTGTTTTATTTTACTTTGTAGATAATTGGATAGAATCGTCTGACTTACCACCTTATCTCATACTGAATACCTTTTTAGTTTGCATTTGAATGTTTGCTCCAAGTAACTATGTACAGTGGCCTTGTTAAACATAAAAAAAGGGACTGCTCCCAGATCTACTTGTAGGTGTTCAACGTTAAAATAACATGCATCTCATGGCTCTCACTTCAGATGGTTTTGTGAGTTATAAAGTAATAGCTCTTAAGTGATGATAATTTGTAACTGAAGGGTTGTTGTAGAATAAGACTTAACTTTTTTATTTATGAGATTGTGATTTAGTATCATGAAAACAGAGTAGAACATTGAAACTATGGCCCTCCTTTGATAAATGAGAACAAAGCAGAGGTAAGAATAAGTGATGTGTTCATGACTGATGAGTCCAGTGACACAGAGCGTGTTGGTGTGGGGAACTGACTGTAGTTTATTATGCCCGTTTGAAGACATTGGTAGTAGAACTAGATTGATTCATGGACAAGATGCTTTTAAAATGGAGTGACTGAGCTATTTCCAATGTACTGGTTTTCTTAGCATTTTGATACTGCATGTTTTTGCTGAAAATAGACTTCTCCCTCTGCAGTAATTAAAAGGTATAATATCAAATACTGCTTTCATGTTGAATAGAAACTCATGAATGCCACCTTCCAACTTTCATTGTGAAGATATGACAGTGTTATGTGATAACCAAGCCACATTTGATTAAAATTTGTTCATTGTGAGAGATTAGGTTAAATGTGAAACGTCTGATTGAATGTGAACTAGATAAACTCTTGAAGTGTTTGACTTCGTTTTGTAAAACATGTGCAAACAGGCTTTTTTTTTTTTAATATTAGTATAACTGAAGTCACAATATAGACATAGGCCCTGGGCTATATCTCTCTTTTAGTAAATCCAACATTGGTGATATTCTTTCAACAAAATCTGCCATGATAAATCGTTTTTGTGATTTTTGAAACTTAATTGCTTTGTAGTTTTGGTTATATATTTCTGTACAACTCTAAGAACATTAATTTTATGGTTATTCATAAAATATAGGATGTTGGAGTGGGAGGTCTGATTTTTCTTTAAAACTGGTTGTTCAAGTATTAGAAAAAAATTTTACATAGTCTTTTTTCTTATATTTTGATTTTTTTACTTCCCTTTTTTTACTTCATTGTCTGTTTATGATTTCAATTACAGAAAGACATGTTTTTCATTTCCTTATGTGGCCAATGGAATAAAGAGAAATTTGAAATAATTAAGTGCTTCTACCATTGCTAGATTTGGGGCCACCTGGGTGCTAAAAACTCCCTTAGGCAACTGGAGTCAGTCTGGTGTATAGAAGGCACCTCTGTGGAGAGAGACCAACCTTGCACAGTGGTATTGATATCCTGCTTGGAGTGCATTTGATTTAGGGACTTCTTTAAAAGTAAAAATAATTCAAATTTGTGTTAAAAAAAACTTTTAAAAATTGCAATAGCTTTAATTGTGAATTTTTTTAAATTTAGATATTCAATTACTGTGGTTCAATTTATGCTTACTTCTTACAGAAAAAAAAAATAACTTTATGAAGCTTTTTCCTGAACTGTGAATGAAAAATACTAGGTTATATATGTCAAGTGTACTGTACTTCTTATGAATATACTTAGGTTAACTAAGCATTTTCCTGCAATGGAATTTCTTTTTCTGGAACTTTGCTTTTATTTTTGAAAAAAAGGAATGTTCCAATAGGATTGATGTTAATACCAAAAGGAAAAATAACAAACATGTAGATTAAAATTCAAATTGTTTTTCATTGTGTGTCATTACTATCTGTGGGATGTGTACTTAGCTGTGATATGTCGATTGGTGTCTCAAAGCCTATTTTTCTAGCATAATTATCACCAGCTTGTTTGTAACTTATTTTTATAGTGGAAGCTGTTCTAAGTTTGTGGCATATTTTAATCTATAGTAAGTCATTTAAAACTTCAGAACTTTTATAACCCCTGTTAGATTTGGAGTTGCCTAGTATAATTGAGTAATTATTGTAGTCCTTTATCGCCTGTTCTTAATTTGAGGCTCTCAAGGAAACTTTTAGTTCTCAGAATACTTGCACATTTTCTGAAAGAATTATGGGCATTTTGGCATTTTCTCTTTTTCATGTTATGTAAGTTACCTATATGTGTATTTAACGCCTTGAAGAATATTTACTTATGAAAACGGACACTGAAATGTTACTCTCAGGAATTAAGATGAACATATTTGACAAGAATGATTCTTGCTGCTTTTCAGTGATATGGAGCCAGCAACGCTGATGGAAGAGACTACAGTGGTGGAAGAGTTCTTGGGGTCCCCAGAGGAGGAAGCTCCAGCCAAGTGGGTGTATCACTCATTTTCTTCATTAGGTTATTGGTCTTTCTCTTAATGATTTCTAAAGAGCCTTCATAGAGCAGGAAGCTCAGTCTTCTGTCATATCACAGAGGATATATTTCTTAATGTAATAATGAATAATTGGACTAGTAATTAGTTCAAATAATCTATGGATGATGATTTCATGATAACCTGTGGGGTTAAATTAATATATTTAGCTCTTTGCCCACATGTCTTTTCTGTCAGCTGCCTGTCCTGTGAACTGGTGTCTTCTAGAACCCCTACACTTGCACTTTATTCCCCTCCAGCCATTTTTCTCCCTTTTTTAAATGTGGCTGAGATCCCTGGTCCATCTCTTGCATGCCTACTGAGTCATTAACCCTGGTGAATCTTTCATACCTTGCTAGTAAAAGCCACCTCTTATGTGACCTGTGGTACCCACAATCATCAGCACTGGTCACCAGCGTTCTGAAATGAGCCCACAACACCCCACCCTTCAATCTCTGTTTCTTATCTTCACTCTATCCCACAGTCTACAATGACTGGCTCAGGTGCCTCTTGTCTCCTCAAACCCAGATGCTCTCGCCTCCTTTCCCCTTCCCCTTTCCTGTCCACACCTATGCTACCTTTTTCATTTTCTGGTTACAACTTTGCCTCTATGACACTGAGGAATTAGGAGCCATCAGATGGCGCTTCATCAAAAGGAAAGGTGCAGCCCTGCGGCACCCACACGCCTATGTCCTTCCCGCCTGGGAAAGTGGAGACGCCATTTGTCCTTCCACCTCTTGTAGCTTTGGCTCCTATTTCCTATTTCCCAATCCTACCCCTCCAGTCAACACTTTATACATGGTCAATCTCTCTTCACCCTACTTTCTCACTTCGTACCTTGTTGAGAGTTGTGCGTACTTTTTCATTCTTCACTCATGTAATCTTCACTCTTGGCCTGGCAGGAGTCCTTTGTCCTTCTAAAACAACTACCCCATTTCTCTAGACCTAATGGATATTTCTGTCTGTGTCTTTCTTGACCACAGAACATTTGGCTTTATTGATTTCTTAATGAACTCTTCCATTGGCTTCTGTGATAACATTCATTCTTCTGATCTTCTGCCTGTCAACTCCTCCTTATCTTTCTGGTCTTTTAAAATGTCATCATCTTCAGGATGCTACCTCAGGCCTGCTTCTCATTCCCTAGCATATCTGTATAGGATGTCACGCACCCCTAGATCTTGAATTTTCACTTATCCACTGACTCCTAAATCTGTACCTCTGAGGACAATTCAGCATGGGCTCCAAGCCTGTGTACCCGTCACTTGCTGGATACCGCTCTTGGGCATCCCACATGCTCCTTGTACTCAGCAGGTTCAAGACTGAGGTGCACAAACCTCTGGCTTTCATTAGGTATTTCCATCTTGTTGGGAGTGCATGGTCATCTGGACTGTCATCATGGCTCCTGCAGGCTCCCTGCCTTCTCACTGGGCTCCAGTGCCTATCTTCACCAGGGTGGTTTTCATACTAGCATTCATATTGTCATGTAAAATCCCTAGTGGTTTCCTACCCTTTCTCTTCTCCTTTCCTGATCTGCACAGTCACGTGTGGTCTGGCCCTTTCAGAAGTCTTAAATGCAGCCACTTCTGTGCCTTCTCTGGATTTACCACCTGACCCTTATTTCATGTTTTCAAGCATGCCTTCCTTTACGCCCCTCCCCCTCCACACACTGCCATGAAGATTTTCAAAGTGCTATTTTCTTGTGTTTTTGTACCTCTCCCCCAAAGCCCTTTCACCCTTCACTGTTTACCTCCTGCTCATCCCTCAACTACCAAGAGGCTCTGTATCTAGTGGTTAAGAGTACAGCTACCAATAAGTATACTAGGTTCAGTTCCAAGCTCTGCCACTTACTCGTTTGGGCAAGTTATTTGATCTCTCTGTGCCTCAGTTTTCTTCATCTGTAAAATGGGAATAATAATAATAGTACTACATCAGAGAGATGTTAGAAGGCTTGTTTGGATATGTGTGGGCACATTGCATAGAGTGGTGCCTGACAGTGCTCTATAAATATCTGCTATTCTTGTTACTTCTTGCAAGAGAAAAATGCTAAAATGATTGATGAATGTGAAAGCTATTAATTTGCTATTGAAAACAATTAAGAAATATATTTAATGAAAGAAATAGATTAACAGCTAATATGAATGTTAATGTGACAGTGAGTTAACATAAATTAACAGTGTATATTAATATTGAGAATGTGTGTGAACTCACTTCAGGAAAAACTATATCCTGTGTAAACTAAAAAACATTTACACAGATTCAGGTTATGTAATAGAGAATAAATTATAACAATTCTTATCAGTAGGATTGATGTATTCTAATGTTCATAATCCATATTGGACAAAACTTTTCAATTTATTACTTTGGGAGACAAAATAATAGCTGGTGATTTGGTAGTGCAGTCTCTTTGCCTGCACTACCCAACAGAGCCAGCCACTGGGTCTCTCTGTTGCTCCTCTTTGCTGACCACAGTGCACAGCGAGCATCTAGTCGAAGTGCAGGCACTGCAAGGTGGAGCCCTGTGTGTGGGTAGGCTGGCCATGCTGAGCAATTGTTTCTGCACTGCCTTGCCAAACTAAAGTGACTGCTGGCATTGTAATTTTTAAAGATAACTTCAAAATTAGGCTTGTAACTGAAAAATACATTTGAGGATGGTGGTGCCTCTGATCTGCTTAAATGTCAATCTAATGTTCAGACTTTCAACATTCAGGCCAGAATGTATACTTGCTGTGGCCTCTTTAGAACTCTGTGATAGATGAATTTAATGTGTCCTCACTTGTCATCCCAAATACATACTCCTCAGATTGGACACATTTTGTTGAAAGTTACATGTACTGTGCCCTTGCTTTCCATCTTCTCCCTCCATCCCTACCTCTCTCCCAGCTGCTTTCACTGTGGAAGTATTATGTGTTCCTTGTCATGTGGTGTTCTTATATCTAAGAATACCTGTGACAACTTGTGTGTTTTTTTTTTTTTTTTCAAAATCTAATATCTCTAGTAAGTATTTGTTGTGTGCTAGGAACTGCTCTACATTCTTCCATGTCAACCCATTTAACCCTTTCTGCCCGTGAAGAAGATGGTGTTATTATTCTCATATTCAGGCATAAGAGGCTGAATAACTTGCCAAGAAGTGACAGAGCCAGAGCTTGAACCAGGTATTGTGGCATATTCATGTCTTAACTTCATTGAATGGTAGGAATGGCTAAAAGTGCCATTTAGACTAACTTGCTATGACCTGTAAACCAGGCAAGAGCTGCCAGCATCTCTGAGAATTCTTGTTCAGTTATATGTGGTACAAATTCTTTCCTTTCTTAAAAATACAGAACTGTTAAGGAAAAGAATATTGAAGAAATATTATTACAAAATAGCTACCATGTGTCATTTTTGTTTTATTTCCAAATATACTTGCTTAGACAATGAAGACTTTCATTATTTGATTTTCATACAGCAGGACAGTGCCCATTTAAAATTTATATAGCAAATTTCTGAGTTCAAAATTTATCATGAAATTTACTTCCCTTTCAGCACTTTGGGGTATTGTTTACATGCTAGATTGAACTTGCCCCTGTCAAATATTCAGTTAGGGAAATTTTACCGTGAGAACCCATTTTCCTTTATTCACTGCATACTTTCATGTATTAAGATAAAAAGCTATTTCTTGAATGGAAGTTTGGACATGTCAGTTAATAATATGCATCTTTCCTCTGTCCATATATTGACTGCCTTCCACTAAGCCTATTTCTCTGCCTTCTATTCCCTGGGTAGTGCAGAGATTGAGGGTGGGTTTGGAAGTAGAATGACTGGATGTGAAACTTGACTCTTTCACTTATTTGTCATAGACGTATGACTTTTCTGTCTCAGTTTACCTGTGAAATGGAACTATGAATTGTATCTAACCTGTGAGATTGATTATTATGAACTAATTAATACAGAGCACCTTGAATAGCAACCATTTGGTACCTGATAAGCATATAGTGAATGTTAGCATTTATTTCTAAATGAAGGTAATTGTTGTTAAAACAGTTCCATAATTTCACCCATTTAGAAACAAATATACCTATTTGTATATGGCATAGTTCACATGATAAGTGATAGATTTGACTCAAATCTATAAGCAAGTTTAATGAAACTTTCTCTCCAAGATTTTTAATTATGAACCAAGGACTATTGGAGACCTTTGATTTACTCAAGATGGAATGTTAAATATAGAATAATAGCAGTTATGTTGCTCTTATAACTGTTAGAAATATACTTGTATTAGTCCTTCCTGGAATTGAGGGATTAATTATACCTCTCTTCAGTATCCAATTTAAGTTAAAATTTTCAGTAAAACTTTGCATTCTGATTTCATCTAGATGAGAAATAGAATCTGTCTCATAGAACTATTGTAGAATGTATCAATCAGGTAGTAAAAGGTAATTCATATGGTCCTCTGTGCACACACCGTTGAATGAGGTGTGCCTGAGTGAACAATATGCATATCCAGTTATTCTAGTGCATGAAACAGCGTTGTTGAAAATCGGTTATCCATGGAAGTGTGGGCTTTTTTTCTATATATTTTATTCCATTGACCTAGCTCTATTACATTACTAGCATACTATCTTGATTACCATATGTCATTATAGCTTCGAAAAGAATCAAATACATAAACAGTAACCTACCAAGAAGGTGAAGGACTTATATAACATTAACTACAGAGTGTTATTAAAAGATTTAGATTATGACATAAGTAGATGGAAAAACATTCATTGTTCATGGAAGGGAGTAATCAATTTATCCCCTTAAAATTTATCCCCAATAAAATAGATTTTTATGTTGATTTTGTAACCTTCACTTTGCTATATTTATTTGTTTCTTATAGTTTATTGTTGAACTCTAGGTGTTTTTACACCTAGTATAACATCTGTAAATAATGGTGATTTCATTTCTTACTTTCCAACTTGGATTCCTTTTGCTTTCTA